CCGGGTTTCTTCTTGAATTTTCGAGCTAGTGCACTTAATTTATTTTGATGATGTGTAGTATGGATACGTGAAAAAGAACCTCCCCCATCCGTCGAGCTAAGTCTAAGACCACAAGAAGTGCACGCCCTTCACTACCATCCATACGTCCCTAAGGTATATCCTCTGGACCTTGCAGAACATCTTGCATCTTGGTTCTGTTTTTGAACTCACAGTACCCACACATTACAAGGTATTGAAAAAAAAACAAATATATTTCCTTTTTTGGTTTTTTACCAACTTTAAAAAACGTTAAAAAATACTATATATATATTATTTTGAATAACCCATTCGAAATAAACCTCCATTTAACTGAAGGGTATATCGGCTTCGTTTGTACCCGAAGTTATATTTCCTCTTTTTATACCCTTGCAGAGGGTATTATAATTTTGTCCAAAAGTGTGCAACGCAGTGAAGGAGACATCTCCGACCCTATAAAGTATATATATTCTTGATCAGGATCACCTCCTGAGTTGATATGAGCATGTCCGTCTGTCCGTCTGTCCGTCTGTCCGTCTGTCTGTTTCTACGCAAACTAGTCTCTCAGTTTTGAAGCTATCGACTTGAAACTTTGCACACACCCTTCTTCCCTTTGCACGCAGTATATAAGTCGGAACGGCCCGGATCGGCCGACTATATCCTATAGCTGCCATATAACTGATTGATCGGAAAAGGTATAACTTTGGTGTTTTTAGAGTTAGAGAGTTTAAATTTGACACTAGAGCTATTTTTGGCAAAACATTACGACATGCCAAATTTCAAAAGGATCGGCCGACTATATCTTATAGCTGCCATATAACTGAACGATCGGAAATGACCCAACTTTCGTGTTTTTGAAGATAGAAAGCTTAATACAGATTCTATTTTTGGCCAGTTGATCCAACCTACCAAATTTCATTAGGATCGGCCAACTATATCCTATAGCTGCCATATAACTGAACGATCGTAAATGGTACTTGGTAGAAATATCAACTTTCGTATTTTTGAAGATAGAAGCTTGGAACTTTTTTTTAGATTTTTTATTGTAATAAATTGGTTTTATTATGATGTAATCATAAGGATCGGCAAACTATATCCGATTTTTGCGATATTTATCCGGTTTTAACTGCAAGGGTATATCAACTTCGGCTCCGCCCGAAGTTAGCTTTGCTTTCTTGTTTATTTTAACCTTTATCTATTTATGTCTAATTTTAATGGTCCATCGCTCGACTCTTCGTTGCAGAATGGCAAATTGCCCAGGAGCCTGCCGGCACTGCGTGCCATGGAAATGGCCCTGCGTACCAACTCCTTTGCCACGCCCTCCCGAGGAGCTAGGAGACAGGATAGGGGCAGTCTGTTGGGCACGGCGGAGGATAGCGACTCGGAAATGGAGTACATGCCGCCACTACACAGTGAGTATGAAAACACTAGGAATAAAAGAGGTTTAGTAGGATTTGAATAAATGATTTAAAATATACATATTCCTTGAACATTTTATACTTCATGGCCCTTTGAAGCCATCAGGGGATTCTTTAAATTTGTATTTAGAATTAACAATTTTATCATTCATTCCATAGGAACTTTGTAATATTTTCCCTTTGTGTACAGTCCCTTTCCCTGTCCGGTGGTAAATTCAATTAAAAATTTTTGAAACTGCTCCACCTGCACGTGCGTGACGAGCTTCTGACGTCCAGCAATGATGGCCAGGTGGTGGTCGTTGTGTCCCAGCGTCCTGATGTCCAGGTCCTCCTGTGTTTGTTTCCAGGCTCTGTCCATCGTTGTCAGAGCCACTGTCAGGCGTTTCAATTTACTTTTATGTCTCGCAGCCTTATCGCGGCGCAAATTGAAATGAAATCTTGACACAATCAGCATGCCCCTGCCACTGGCAGCTCAGATTCAGATTCCCACATACAATTAAGTTAAACGCTGACCATCAATTATGGGACGAGCTGCCTCGGCCGCTTAGGCCGGGGTGCTCAGCTGCCCTTCAATGGCCAAACTTTTCAGCCCATCCGAAAATAGCCAGGGCGGTAAATACATAGACAAGTAGGAAAACAAAAACAAAATATAAAGGAAACCGGAAAAAATGGGAAAGCCAAGCTAAGACTCTAGCAAAGCGACAAAAAATTGTCAACTTATGCGAAAGTGCCCACTTCCAGCTTCTCCGGCTGTTGTCTCGGATGTTTCGCTAAAGATGATATCAGAAACTTTGCCCCAAGCCCTCCTGCCGGACCAAGCAGCACTGGCAAATGGTCACAGGATCTCCTTCACTCCCCCTTTTATTTATATTAATATTTTTATCATTTTACGAGGGCTATACAAATGTGAAAAAGACACCGGCCTTCTGACGACCACCTTGAGTCCGGAGTCCACAGTCCAGACCCGAGATTGCGGCCAAAAACTTTTTGGCCACAACTTAAATTCAGTTTATTTAGTTGTGCTTTGTAACCGTATTAATCCTCTGCCAGAGCGTCATTTACATTTCATTTGTGCGTCCCGCCCAGAAATATGATGGAATAATGAATATATAAATCAAAGCGAAACTTGTTTAGCTCCGCCCCGTGTTGCGTCATAAATCAATAAGCGGGGATTTATGATTTGGCTGCTTTGTATCAGCTTTAATGTGGGACTTTTATGGTACTCGGATGAGGATTCAAGGTAAAGGGGCTAAAAATCTGCATCACCCGCCATAAGTGCTCTGCTCGGCAGCTGTTCCAATTCTCAGTGTAAATAACCCCGCCAGCAGCAGACTCGCTCGGTCCTCCCCCTGCTTGAGTTTTTCAGTTTTTCCAAGCTCCGACCCACAACCCCTCCAAGCACTTGTCAATATGAAAATGTTGCTGTTGCTTCTACTGTTGCTGCTGCTGCTTGGCGGCTGTTGCTGTTGCATTTTTTCGCTCACCTGACTGTTTGTTCAGTCAGAAAGTTTTGATTTATTTACAGCCCAAGTTTTACATTTTACACGACACTCGCCTCCAATTACACGCCGCTGTTTCAGTTGCTGTTTCAGTTTCAGTTTCAGCTTCAGCTTCAGCAGCAACAGCAACCCTTCCAACTGAACCAAAACTCATTTGCACCTCAGCAACCCTCAGCTGCAGCTCTCTGGGTGGAATGAAAAAAAAAAGAAAAACTGAAATACTTTCCTTCAGATTTTAATCGCTCACGTGAGTCCTGAAAGTCCTGCGAGCTGGTATGTGTGTCGCTGCCCGAGTTCTCTGTTGGCTGCTTGGGTTTTTACATATTTAGTCGCCGAGGATAATGTGTCGACGCTGCTGTTGCTGTTTTACTTTACTGCTCATGCTGCTGTTACTTTTGCCATTGTCGTCACGGTTGCACAGTTTCAAGAACTTGGTCATTTGCATAATACAGTACCCAGCACCCAGAGATGGCCTAAACATTCACGTAGGATGTGAGATTCCCGGAATAGGTCAATGCTAATCGTGTGTTCAATGGAATTTCCTTAAGAGCCTTAAGATGACTTTCTTTTGACCTCTAAGTTTGGACTTCTAAGAAGAATAATATAATAAATAGAACCCTTCTCCTGACTTTTCTCCAATTTTTCTTATAAAAGTTAGTTTAATCAAATAAATAAATTCAAATATCGATTAAACATAAAACCTTTGTTGCAAAGTTTATTTATAAATTTTAAGTTATGCGTGCGACAAGCTTTTCTTGGCCGTTTCTTTCCATGGCTTTACCCTTGCTGCCTCGTAGGCCTATCCCCGCGAATCGCATGGCTGTTGCATGCAACGTAACTGATATCTGTTACACCATCGACGTCAACTCGTTTGTGCTTTTGCTTGTGTTTGTATGCCCGTGCCCCATGAATATGCAACGAAGAGCTTGCCTCGTTATTCCGCCGTGTTAGCCATGGTGTGGGTATCCGTTTCCGTTTTGCGGGAAATCGATCAGGGACCACCCCTTTGAGATACAGATACGGAAAACGCTAAAAAAAAATTAAAAATTTAAACAAAAGGAGAATTGTGCCACTGCGACGGCTCATCTGGTAACTATTTGTCGTCTGAAGTGACCTTGAAGTGCCTCGCGGTCTGGTTTCCGTTCTGGCCTGACCAAAAGCCAGCGCCATTTGCGACTTGGCCACTTTCCGCAAATTATTACCCAGACTCGGGACTTGAGACTTTCGACGACTTCTGTGTCTAATACGCTTTCGGCACGGAGTAACAGTTGCTAAAATGTTTTCCATTGTTTTCACGCTCAACAAAAGGCAGACAATTAGTTTTCTTAAACGACAAATCAAGTAGAAATTAAGTGGTGGCGGGCAAGGGCACGAGATGCGGCAACGAGCTGAGTGCTGCGGGTGGTTCAGCGGTTGGGCGGTTGAGCGGCTAGTGGGTGTGGGTGTCCCTGTGGGTGGTGGTGCTTTTGGGTGGTGATAACAAAACAAAAGTGGATTATTGGCTCTCGAGCGCATAAACAATAGCATGTGCTTCGTGTATGGGGGCTGGTCTTGTGTCTGGGCCTTTGTTTGTTTGCCCAGTGTAAAGTGGCTTAAGCTTGAAGCACTCGACTCACCCTGAGGGCTTTTGCATAATGAGCAAAATCGCGTGTTAAACAGATGCACTCCATGTAATCCCAAGAAAAGGAAAGAATTCCGGTTCCAGTGAACGAAATGCAATGAATAAAGGATCCAACAGGATGTCTTAACATAGCCCGACTTCAAGGAGTATAACACAAAGGATACGCTATAATCACCCCAACGAAAATGTAGGGAAATGAATTTCCCCAAGGAAAATCGCCTAGCCAAGACAGAAACCTTTTCGAATTTCCACGACGCATGCCTGAGAGTGAGTTTTCCCAAAACAGACTTCGGCCAGAGCTCGGAACTTTGGCGCGAGGATAACGCTCGTTTCGGCCAAAAGGATGTCGGAGCACCAGGTTCTGCCGGCAGCGACGTCGGCAGAATAACGGTAAACGACCGGAGCAGACCGATGTGTTGACTATTTGTGAGGCGGACGAAGGCGATTCGCCTTCAGTTTGAATTGTGTCCTCGTTAAGAAAGGATATTCGTTACATTGTTGTTAAGTTGTTATTATAATTTCTCAAACAAACCAACCAACCAACCAAAGCAACCCAAACCGAAAGCCAACTGCTCGCTAAAGAGAATTCTAAATAAAAACCGAAAAGTAAGAAAAGCGAAAAGAAATCAACGAAGTGAAACAAACGAAAGCCGAGCCAATTAACTAACTAAGAACTGAACTTTAAATAAGTTCTAAAACATCCCAAAAATTAAATGAAACAATATTGAAAAACTTAGTGAACTTTTCAAAAAATACATTTCCTGTATCTCTTAGTTTTGAGTGTTCAGTTTTGATTATAATTTTAAACAAAGTTCAGAAGTACTGTCGAGTGTGGTTACAGTTGCTGCCTTTAATATTTGAATTCAGAATTTGATGTGAAATATTTTCAAGAAAATCGATGCGAGTTAAAGATTTTTTCGAAACGTTTAACCCATTTGGGGTTACTTGGTCTCGTTGTCACCGAGCCGAGCATCGATTTTGGCCTTATTTACATAGCCTGGCTGGCACAACGCTTTTTGCGTGCATGTATATTTTGTTGTGCCTGTTGTGTGTTGTGTTTTTGGCCACATTATGTACAACGCCAGAACAGCAGAACGGCAAAATCAGCAGCCCGTTTCTGAAACAACAACCAAAGTCTGGCACTTCGGCTTGTGTGGCACATAAACCGACAACGAGCAGCCAATAAATGCTGCCGCCAGCCGACATCGCATGGGTTCCTATATAAAAAGGCCACTGCAACTGTGTGTGCTTTGTGTGTGTCTTGTTTGAGTGTTCCAGTGAGTGTGAGTCCTGTGTGTGTTTTTCTGAGTGTGCCACAGTGTGTGTTTGAGTCATACACACAAAAAGGGAATGCTGGGTACCACATATACAACATATATGTGTGATTTTTTTTTCCTGTTTGTACTTTTGGTGTGGCCTCTGCATTCGTGCTTTTTTCTGCGCTTCCGTGTCTCCTGGCTTTCCGAATAAAAATAAAAATATAAGTTTATATTTATACATAGCATTTGTCTGTCCGTCTGTGCCATAAAAACCGGAAGCGTTAGACTGACGGCGAGCCTGTCGCTGATCCTGACACTTGCCAACACTTGGGGCGTACAGGGTGTCAGGACTCGCAGGATTCGCAGCTTTGTTTGCTGCTGGGATGCTGCTGCTCGCTGTCTATCGTCTTTCGGGGGCCTGTCGTAAAACCCCAGCTCGGTTTCTGGTGCGTGTTTTTTTGGCACTTGTACTCCGCTGCTTTTATTATTATTGTTATAATTTTTTTCGCTGCTGCTGCTGCTTCTGCTTTTGGCACTTAGACATTGCGTTGCTCTCGCACTTTCAATGTCTGCTGGCTGTCGTCCCTCGTTTCGGGCATAACTTTTTATTTATTTTTTTTTTTTGTTGTGCTGCTGGCTCATGCTGTATTCACTCCGCATACAAAGCGGGCACACAAATCGTAAAATATTAAATTTAATTTTTCAAATGATGTGTGAATGGCTTAGTCTTGATATATGATAATGGCTGTGCGCGGGCTGTACTCGATCCATAAAAATAAAGCAAGTCCTGGGTTTATTTACTTTTTCTTCTGGCTCAACTGTAATCACACTAACAGCAATGAAAGTTAATTACCCCTTTTGTTTTCCAAGTACATTATCCTTTTGTTTATTTTCATCTTGCAGAATATTTTAATTCTAGAGGGAAGTAAAATGTTCTGGAAAGCTGAAATAAAATTAAATTTTTTCTTCAGAATCTAAACACAGAACATCCTGCCTTTTGTGCTTGGGATTCTGGATGGGAACATAAATTACAAATATAAAAAACCAAATGAACTTTTTGAAAACAAATTTCATTGGTCTGTGATAAGTGAAGGTCAAGCAAAAAAATTTTTTATGCAAAACTAAAAAACAAATTAAAAGCCAACCACAAACAACACGAAGCGGAACAAACGGAAAGGAAAACCACAAAAAAGGCAACATTTTCAAACTAGCAGAATTGTAGAAATTATTTAATGCATCAAATCGTTTGCGAATAAAACAACAACATCAACCAAAGCCAGCAGGAGCAACAGCTACATCTACAGCAACAATAGTGCGGTTTCACACAAAAAGGCAGCCATTAAAAAATACGTAGCCAAATTATAATAAAATTTATTTATATCATCAACTGCAAGGCGGCAGGCACTTCATTAAACATCAAAGCGAGCTGCGTGCAACCGCAAAACGTGCAAATTCCGCACCGCAACAGCAGCAGCAATTGCAGCAGAAAAGCAGCAACAGCATCAATACCAAAAACGCAACAAGCAGCATCCGAGTGCAACTGAAACTGTAAAATGTTGGCAATGCCCACGCTGATGATGCCAGCCACCGCACAGATGACGCTCAGCAGTCAGCCCCTTTCCGTGGGCGCCGCCCATGGCAAGCCCTACGAGACAAAGCTGCTGGCCATCCACCAGACGCATCTGCAGCAGCAGCAGCAACCGGCTCCCGCGCAGCAGCAGCAGGTGCAGCAGCAGCAGAACGGCAAGCAACAGCAGCAACCCCAGCAGATGACCATCGTCACCACCCAGCAGCAGCAGCAACAGCATCCCCAGTCGCAGTCGCCACACCAGCACCAGCAGCAGTCGCAGCAGCAGGCCGCCGCTGCAGCCGCCGCAGCCGCAGCTGCCGCCCACCACCAGCAACAACAGGCCGTGGCCGCCGCCGTCTGCGCCGCCCAACAACAGGCAGTGGTCGTCCAGCAGCAGCAGCAGTACCAGATCCACTCGCAGCAGCAATCGCCGCAGCAGCAGGTGCTCAGCGTTTCCCCCAAGCAGGGTAAGTTCTCCTTAAAGGTGTATAATGAAGACAAGTCTTAAATAAACTCTCCCTAATTAGTAATTTCATTAAATTAACCATAAAGTAAACTCCCCAAAAAGTTGTTACTTAAAGAAAACCCCTACCCTTCGAAATTCCTAATCTAAAAAAAAGGACATTAATTTTACTACGTTTTTGTACGCGTAATTGTCATAATCGATATGATGATGATGGGGTGGCTAATAAATTTCCGGCAGGACTGGGAACTCCTTTGACGATTCCTTGATGGATGAATGGGTCCCGGCCGAGGTGTGGGCCACACATTTGCCACATTTGTTTACGAGGACCTCCAACACTTTGGGCACTTATCGATTGGCTTTTATTGCCTGCCTACGCCTATGGTCGCGTTACACTGCTACACAGTCTGCGTCGGAGGTCCTTACAAATTTCACGAGTTTTACGAGCAACTGGAGCAGTTCAAGTAATGCTTTTTATGGTCTCTGTCGTAAAACTCGGCCAAGCCTCTAATAGCTGTCTAATGTTATTTGGCCTCAAAACGAGGCTCGCGTGTTTGTCAAAGTTTACGTTTTCACTTAAGCTATTTCCCCTCATCTTAAGACTGCTTGCTGTCCTGCACTAAACTAAAGACCTGTTTCGGAAGACCTGACCACGTAGTCATATCTGTATCTCCGCAAATTATAGACCAAGCAAGGCGCAGGTGTCCGCCTTTGTTGGCCTGTGTTAAATCAAATAGAAATCAATTGGAAATTATTGACAATTTCCACATTGGCATTGGCTCAGTCAATGGCTTCGATTCGATTTTGATTTCGACTCCCTCATTCACCGACTTTGTCATAGTTGGCATTCTGGCTAAACGAATGGCAAACACACACCCCCCCCACATACACACACTCTTCCAAAGCAAACAGTCGTCGGGGGCGGAAAAGTAAACACCAGATAGAAGGCGTGGTCCTGTCTGTCTGCTGTTGTTTCTTCCTTTTTTTTTGTCGTTTTTTACTTTTTTGTGCCCGCCCGCCGCCGCCGACACGTTGGGTGGTGCACGAGGCAAACATGAGACGTTGGGCAAGACACCGCACCAAACAGTCAAACTGAAACTCAAACTCAGACGAGACGATTTGCTCAAGTGCAGCGGACAGTGCGGACAGCGCAGACAACGCGGCGTATACGTAACATTTAAACGCACGTCCACACTTGACCAGTTTTTGCGAGAGAGGGAATTGAAAATCGAAACGGAGTTTCGGACAAAAAAACTTTGTTGGCCAAGTTTGCTTCTGCTGTTGCTGTTGCTGCCACTACTGCTACTATTGCTTTGCGGCAAATTTGTTTTTAAATTTGCAGAACCAGTCCCGGCTGAAGTGTCTGCTGAAATTTTCAATTGAATTCGTCGTTGTAAGATGCAGAAAACAAATTGCCAAAAGCGAACGACACAAGAATGTAAAAAGTTGTCGAGCAAACAGACAAAGGCGCAATGTGCAATGGCAACAACAGAGCGTGGCGTTGAATTTGGCTTATAAAGTGGCCGGATCCCCACGCTAGCCCCCCGCCTTCCGCGTGTGTCTCAACCGGCAAATGTCGTCCTTTGTTAAACTGTAAAGACGTTGACTGATGCGTTGGCACAGCTGCCAAGTAGCCCCGCCATTGTTGCTCCTTCCGCCCCTCGGGCCGTCTCGGGCACTCCAACTTTAAACAGGTGATCGATTTTTCTCTTTGTCACTTTGGCGAAAAACTTTCGAAACGAAATTTAATAAAATCTGATGCGATGTAATGCTGGGTGAATTTAATCCGCTTGCAGGCGGCTTGCGACACCTATCACAACGTTATTTAATATATTAAATATGGCATATTTAAATTATGAAATAAAATGGAATAAAGGCGAGCGTACAGCTGGCAGATTATGCCTGATTTTGAAGCCTATTTAGCTGCTCCCTCATGAATTTATTTCATTTTATTTGCCTCCATTGATTTGCATATTCATGTTTCAGCTATACCACATTTTTTGCTCCGCTATTCAAATGCAATTGAATAAATAAACATATTAAATGTTTACTCCTAAAGCGCATTAAACAAAAAATGCAAATCTTGGATGAATAGCCGTTTAAGGTGGCTTCTCTAAAAATAAATGCGTTTAAATTAATCTTTAGTTGATAGTTTTTACATTCTAGAATATGCTTTATGCTTTAGGCCGATAAATTCAGGGAAATTAGGATTTTTTTAAGAGGAAAATAAATAGGTTTCGGCCATCAGACGGTAAGGTAATGCATTTTCCGCCTCCATGAGCAGACACAAAGCACGAGTTTCGTGTACGAATTCCCTGTTAGTCCTTCGGATTGCTAATGATAATGCTGATGATGATGACGATTATTATTGGCAGGCAGTGTGCATTGCATGCCGAGTGCATTTTGTCAACCTGCTGGCTGCTAACTCATTGCCCATTATCGTCATTATTGTGGCTGTTAAGTACGTTTGCGCCATTATCTTGGTCTGGCTCTTGGTTCCTCTCTGCCTGCTCGCCTTCTCGAAACCGATTTTCCCCGAAGTTATGCTTTAAATATGCCAGCAACGTCCTCGCCCGCCACTTCCCAGATATATTTCTTTGGCATTTTTTTCTGCCCCAACGCCTCGGGAAAAACGAAACGGAAAACAGAAGGGGCCGGCTGGAATGGGGACGTGCAGCTGCTGAATGGTTTTTAAAATTGAAAACTATATATCAATTGCCTAGGCCAAGGAGATAGTTTGTCGGCCAGTCTGGACCGGAGTCCGGCGTCCGGAGGCTTCTCCTTTGTGTGGTCCTCCTTTCTGCTGCTGCGCTTTTCTTATGGGCTTTCATTTATTTGCTATTAACCTGTCATTGTTCATTTTTATTATTGTGCGGTTTTTATGCTCGTTTTCTCGTTTTTGCTCCCTCTGTCGCATGTCGCATGTTGCATGTATGTATTTGTTGCTGCAATCGTGTCTCGCGGCATTTTCCGGCACTTGGCAACTCTGCACATGGCTATGTATGTGTGTGTGTGTACGTGTGCAATAAATTGTTATTATCGCCGCGTTGCAGCATGTCGTTGTCCTTTTGGCAGGACAACCATCCCCGTTTCCACCCAGCTGCTTGCCCCATCGTCTTGCGCTGTCTTGTCCTCGACAGACCATGCAAAAGATTTATAACTTTTATTATTATTGAAGCTTATTTGCCGCTTTATCTGGCCCCCGACTTTTGCCCAGCTCAGCCGTAGTTTACGACTGGAAAATCAATCATACGCCATGTTTGACGCCGAGTCGAGCCACTCGAGCATCACCTGCCAGTCTACTGTCGCGAGTCGGGAGTCGCCAAAGGAGTGCCCCCTCAGGAGATGATAGCCCTTTGTTTTGCCCTGCTGTCGCCGACATTTTGTATTAATTTTTCACCGCCCAGACAAGAGCCAACCCGACACTCATTGATGTCGGCTGTCATTAATGTCTTTGCCCCCATGTCCGTTTGCTGTCCACTTTGCCAGCGATGGAGTCTGGCTGAAAAAGAGGTGCCGGAACGAAGTTGGGATAAAGAATCTCTGGCGAAAGCACAAGGAGAAATTTTATGGCTTATTATTAAAAAATTTAGACTAGGGCATATGCGAAGTTTTTGCTTCTAGAGACTTATAAGCCACCTTCTTATAGTATATGGGTATTTTATTCTCGTATAGTAAGTACAATCTGCTCCGGGCTGGGCACTTAATTCAGTGGGTGGTGCCATCGGTGGTCTATGGATTAGTATGCCAAGTGACGTCCAGCGGCTGATGCCTTGTTATTAAGTGGACGCTGCAGTTCCACTTCCACAACCACCTCAGTTCCAACATCCCACTTGCAGCCCTTGGCCAAAGGCAAAACTTTTTACAAACGTCACTCCTGTCCAGCTCCCTGGCATTCTTTCTCCGCTTTCTTTACTCTCTCTCCATTGTTTTTGTTTTTTATTTTGTTTTTTTTTTTTTTCTAAATGCCAGCAAACAACAAAAGCAGCATAAGGCAGTTTGGACAGCCGGGATGAGCATACAACTACGTAGCTAATACTTTAGCAGCCGGATTAGGTTCAATTGGAGCGGGGCTGCTGGGCACGACAAGAAGGGTATTCCTCTGCCTGGCTGAATGAAAAAAAAGGCAACGAAACAACAAAAAATCTCAAGCTCACACACACAAACACCTATGCAGGAAAAGTGGAAAAAGAGAAAATGGCCAAGGAATAAAAACTGTTGTAGCAGGCATTAAAGTTTAAACGTTGGTAAATTCCTACAGCTTCCGCTTTGTTGGACTTCATGGCTGGCAGTCACTGTGGGGACAATGGATCGCTTGACTGGACAGGTGGGCCAGTTGGGCCCGGTAACCAGGTGCCAGTGGGTGGCACTAAGGCTGTGGTCCATCCAGGTGCGTTGACGTGCGTGCCGGGTGCAAATGAAAAGCCCGATTACAGAAATCGATCAAGCAAGCTGCAATGAAAACTCAAAGCAGAAGATTAAATCCCATTAAATAGTTGGTGCTTGAAAGTAAGAAGTCCTTTAAAAAATTGCATTATTTTTTTAATAAGCGGGGGATACTGATTAAATTTTCCGCCAGGCCTTGAATGCCTACAAAGTGTCATCATTTCATTTATTATCCTGCCGGCCCATCCCTCGTCGTCGTCGCAATCGACAATCGCGATCAATGTTTTATGTAAAAGGCAGCATTTTAAATGTCAGACTCACATGCAAAATGTCTGGACCTCTTCCTGGGGAAAAATCGATGAGGCTGAGCCGTTTCGTCTGGAGTTGGAGGAGGTGGGGCTTTAAGGCTCTGCAGGTTGAGGTTGAGGTCAGCCGGGGGTCAGCGAGTCCGGCAGCCATTTTGCCATTTTGGTTGCATTGGGGCGCAGAACCCAGCGCCTTTCCCTTTGTCTTTGGCGCCTGTATGGAGGCTGTCCTGGTCACAGGACATGGGCATACAGTCACAGGCTTTGTGTATGGTTACAAGCACAATGCAGCAGTCAACGCATTTGACAAATT